GGGAGGGGAGGGGAGGGGAGGGGAAGCTAAGGTGGCAGATGCAGCTCGGGGCTCTTCACTTCGCTCCACTTCCATGGAGGGGACAAAAGGTCCTTGAGGGAAGCAGTGTGCTGAGAAAAGAAGAAAAGAAAGAGGAGGGGAGGGAGGGAAGGGAAAGGGAGGGGAGGGGAGGGGAGGAAGGAAAGACAAGGTGCAGCGCTCCCTGGCATCTCCTTCCCCCATCTCCCTTTGCAGCAGATTGGAGCTGTTCTGGCTGCAGCGCTGGTATTAAGGCATCTTAATTGAAATCTATCCGCAGCTTCGAAAAGGTGCGGGAAGGAGCCGTTTAGTCGGGCCCTGATTAGCTCTTGGCAGGCGCTGGGAGCCCTGATGTGAATGTCAAAGTGAGAGGGGAGACAGCTCTGCCACACAAACCCCCGAAAACTTCCCATCAGTGTGCGGGGGGTTATTTATTTTTAAGCCCACCCACCCATCTCTCCCCATTCCCCCCACCTCTCCTTCTCCCAGCATCTTTTAATTTGAGTTCCTGGGGAGCTAGGTGATGGCTCGAACACCAAGCCCAGGGGAGGGGCTGGGAGCAGGGGAAAGAAGGAGCAGTTAATTAAACCATGTAAAGGTGACGGGCGACCAGGGTAGAAGCAATAAGGGCAAATCAATACGGGGCTGGAGAGAAGAGAGCACAGGCATGGAGAGAGGAAAAGTCAGCCCTTCCCCCCTCCCCCCTTTCCCTTCTTTTTCTTTTTTTTTTTTTCCTTTTAAGGAGTAGAGAGGGGGGAAAGGAGCTGGTATGACCAGGGAAGAAAATTATATTAACAATAATTTCTTAACTCCTGCAGAACAGGGATATGACTGCAGGAATCCAAGGGGCACCTCAACCCTTGGAAAACCAGTGGACAAGATAGACCAGATGTATAGCCAGTGATCTCTTAGAGCTGTGGTCCCTAAGGTCCCAGAGCTAGCTGGATCATAGATTTAGAGCTGGAAGAGGCCTTTCCAGATTGTAGGATCGAATATTTAGAGATGGAAGAAGGCTTCAAGGTTATGGAATCCAATCTCATCATTTTACTGATGAAGAAATTGGGCCCGGGGTCCAAAGTGATTTGCCCAAGGTCACACAGATAGCAAGAAGATTTCATCTTTATAGATGAAGATGCTAAACTTCAGAGACATGAAATGGCTTGGTCATCTAGGTGGTAGTTGACAGGGTCAGGATTTTAAAATGAGGTCCTCTGACCCCCAAACTAATGGTCCTACCATTACACTGCACTGCCTTCCAAGTTTGTCCTCAACATTAATCATCTCCCTTTTCAACAATCCTCCTCGCTTCCCCCCAAGATACCCGGAGCTTTTTTGCTGCTACATCTCTGGGACTAAAGCATATAATAAATTCATTCACATTCAGGAGTTTGCAACATAAGAATTTGCATTTTGAGAGGCTCAAGGGATTGAGCAATGTTCAACCCAAAAGATTGACTCATTAAAAGTAGATTTCCAGACATCAGGGACAGGCTAATGGGGGAGATGTTTCAGGATGGGGGGGGAGCCTTCCCCTGGTCCCCCCCAATTTCCATCTGGCCACTTACAGAATCTTAGTGATTTACAGATGAGGAAATTGAAGCTCTGAGAGGTCAGGGGACTTGCCTAGCATTGCATACTTATCCCATTCTTTGCTTTATTATGTCCTGTCCCTGTCTTACCTCCAATTAGTAAGCTCCTTAAAGTCTATGTGTGTGTGTGTGGGGGGGGGTGTTATGTGGGTTTTTTTTTTCCATTTCTGTAGCCCTTCACAGTTCTTGGAACACAGTTGGCTCTTGGTCAATTTTTACTAAATAAATGAATGAATGAATGAATGCTGGCAGAACATAGCAACTCTGGAAGGAAAGGGGTTTGGATGTTGGAAAAGCTTGAAGCTAAGGCAAAGCCAGGAGGAGTGATGGAAGGGCACTTACAGAAGGGAGTCTGGAGTTAAACTTGTAAAGAATGGCATGAAAGTTTAAGTAGTGGAAGCAGTGAAGGCAAAGGGATAGTCAATATAGGGCTGTGACCAGGGTGGAGGGACCTAGGGTGGTCACAAACTTTCTTCTCCCCTCTCCTCTCTACAGTCAGGCAGCCCACTCAGTGTAAGCGGGACAGCTAGAAAGCCATACAGTTTGTTTTAGTTTAAAAAACAAGGATGCACAGTTTTTACCTTAAGATGTTTAAAATATAGCTATTAAATGTCTGAGGCCAGATTTGAACTCAGGAAGATGAGTCTTCCTGACTCCAGGCCCAGTGCTCTATCCATTGTATCACCTAGCTGCCCCAATAAGAGCAATTAGGGAGCTGGTTTTAGTCATTATCATGTAATCATGTTCAGGACAAAATTCAAAATGGTGGAATGTCAGCCATCTTCAAGTATTTGAAGGACTGTCATGGAGAAGAGGGATCAGATTATTCTCCTTGGCCCCAGAGGGAAGAGCCAGGAGTAAAGGATAGACATCACAAGTTAAAAACAGGCTCCACGTCAGGACAAACCTCTTAACAGTTGGAACTGTCCAAAAGTGAAATGGGCTGCCATAGAAGATGCTGGGGTCCCTCTCACTGGAGGCCTTCAGGCTAAGGATAGGTGATAGGTGATCTTTTGTCAAGTATATGAAAGTGGGGATTCCTGTTGGTCATGGATTGGTCTAGCTGGCCATTGAGGTCCCTTCCAACTCTAAAATTCATCAAGTCTGTGAATGGCAACTGACATTTGTGCAATATAAGTGAGTTTTAAAGACTTGTTGGAAAATGGACAATTCAGAGTCAGTGGAGAGATATGTTTGAAAGCAAACAACCAAAAAACATCATAGCCACTGCTGGGCACATAATAGAAGTTTAAGTAAAAGGTTTTAAGGACCTGACCTACAAGATGGGGAGAATGAAGAAGTATAGAAATGTGTGTGCATGTGGGTCAGCTTATGGTACATCAATCTCAGAAATGCATAGGCACTGATGGCAAACATTTTGAACAGTTGGTTCATCAAGCTAAGCTCTATCATGAATTAATAACAGAATTTTGATTAGTCACCAGTACATTCATTTCTATTCTTTGATACTTTGAAGACTCTGTGATTTTATTGATGTACCTACTTCCAGTGGTGCTGATTGTGACCACCTATGCTTTCCCCTGCTTTGCAACTCTCATCCATAAATCCTCCAGAATGGGTCCATCCAAAGTGTTGACAGTTTTCATTTAGAAATGAACATTTCATGGAAACCAATGGAATGTGTGGGCTCTAGAATGGCTCTCTCTCTCTCCTCTCTCTCTCTCTCTCTCTCTCTCTCTCTCTCTCTCTCTCTCTCTTTTCCTCCCTCTCCCACTTCCTCTCCTTTCCATCTCTCCCCCTCACCCCCTCTTTCTTTGTCTCTCTCTGTCTCTGTCTTTCTCCCCCCACACACGCTGACTGGCCTATCTCCTTTAATATTCATAATTATTTTTGATCATAGCCTTTTTTCTTCATAATTCTTCATTAGTCATCTGTTGTTGTCTGTCCATTGTTCTTTGGATGACCTGTAATTTTCATTCTTCAGAGAGTTTGCTATATTCCATGACTCACAGTCATATAGCACCCTCCAGGAGAATATTTATTCATAAAATGTGGCTCTCTCTTACTCAAATTACCTCTTTTTTTGCCCCAAGCCTACAACACAGCCCTGGGCATCATGGGAGAGAGAACTGAGTATAGCAGGGGTCCAACAGATTTGACGTCAAAACCAGCAGGTTATCAGCAGTGACAAAAGATTGGGAACTCCTAACCTAGACATTTTGTCTTCTTTCAGTTGGAACTAGGAGGTGGAAGGTTCCTCACTGAAGCTAGAGAGGGCAAGATTCTTGCTGTCTTCTCTTCCCATTAAAATGCATACATTAAAAGCATGGGGCTTAGTGTTCTAGAAAGAGAGGCAGCAGGGAGAGATTGAGAGAGATGTAAACCTCACTGATGAAATGTCACTTGCTGCTGATAACTCATAAGGTGTTTAATTAAATGCCCTCTTAATCAAGAGCTAATCAAACCAGCAGGAAAGCTGTATGTGGGGGGTAGTCATGTGTGCATGTGCGTATGCGGGTGTATGTGCTCACGCATGCAGTCTCTGAAGTCAGCCCTACACTGGGATGAAGCATGCTAAAAGAAGGAAGGGAGAGAAAGATGGAATCAACAAAGTAGATGAATTTTAGAGCTGGAAGAGACTTTAAAATGGGATATTGGAATTTGAAAGAGCTTTAAATCGGAGAACATCAGAGCCATCAAGGACTATAGAATGTAGAATATCAGAGCCAAAGGGGACCTTAGGACATAGAAGGGACATTAGATTGTCTGCTATTCTGGAGAAATTGGGAGAGGAATTTGGGGTATTACAAGACCATAGCAACTTTGGGCAATTGTAGGTATGCCCTTCTGCTGTCACTATCTTAATACTGGCAAATTTGGAGAATAATTCCTAACCATGTATCTACCCAAGAATATTGTCTGTTATGATTTGGTTCCATGAGGACAGGGGGAAGAAAGAGGTTTTTAGCTCCACCTATACTATTAATGATGGCATCTGTATTAACTTGGGGAAGTCACTTCCTCTCTCCAGGCCTCAGTTTTCCCATCTGTAAAGTGGGGTTGGAATAAGGAAAGGGATTTGAGTAGGGGACCTCTAAAGCTCCTTCTGGCTCTGCTATTCTGTGTCCTAAGATCCCTTTCAGTTCTGATATTCTACATTCTAAGGTCCTTAATAGCATCGATACTCTATGGTTTAAAGTTCCTTCCAGCTCTAACATTCCATTTTGATGTCTCTTCTATCTCTAACATTCTGTGTTTCAAGGTCCTTTCTAGCTCCAGTAGTCTAGGGTCTAAGGTCCCATCAGGCTCGAACATTATAGGGTCCAAGGTCACTTTTGGCACTATCACTTTATAATCCTATGGATCCATTCTAAAATAGTTCAATAATCCACAAGAATTTTTGGTAAGCTTCTGGTTTTGATTTTGGTATGGACTTGTGGTTTCCGAGCAGTAAGGAACTTCCCTCTACCAATGCAGAGTGGCAGCTCGACTGTAACTTTCAGTCATGGGGAGGTGCCTCAAGCATTGAGAGACTAGTTGACTTGCCCCTGGCCAGAAGGGAGTGTGCCTCAGACGGAAAGCTTGAACCTTGAACCACATCTTCCTGACTCTAAGACCAGTGCTATTCTCTTTCATTAGTGCTATTTAATAAAAATCTTTGAGGAAGAGAGGAAACTGAAGTGGGGAGGGCCAAGAGATTGTTTTCTTCTCCCAGGCAACACGTCCATCATGAATAGACATACACAGGAAGAAGGGGGCAGCTAGGTAGTGCAGTGGATAGAGTTCTGGGCCTTGGGTGAGGAAAACTCAACTTCTTGAGTTCAAATCTGGCCTCAGACATTTACTAGTTGTGTGACCCTAGGCAAGTCACTGAACCCTGTTTGCCTCAGTTTCCTCATCTTTAAAATAAGCTGGAGAAGGAAATGGCAAACCATGCCAGTATCTTTGCTAAGAAAACCCCAGGGGCAGCTAGGTGGTAGAGTGGATAGAGCAGCAGCGCTGGAGTCAGGAGGAACTGAGTTCAAATCTGGCCTCAGACCAAACACTTGACACTTACTAGCTGTGTGACCCTGGGCAAGTCACTTAACCCCAATTGCCTTGCAAAAAAAAACCAAAACCCAAATGGGGTCACAAAGAATTAGACACAACTGAAAAACAATTGAATAAAATATGTTGTGTGTTGTTTGTCCTTCATATTCTGAGAGACCCAAAATGGCATCACAATATTGGGGTCAAGGTAAGCTATGTTTGATTGTGGCTGATCAGACCAATACAAGTTCAGAAAGCTCTATCTACCACAGGTCAGTCACAAATGGTCTGTTTGAACTTTTGGGATGGAGATGTTTCTAGATTTGAGCATCTCATGTTTTCTTTGTGCCACGGTGATTCTGTACTGCTCCTAGAGCACAGTGCCTTCTTTAATGGGGGCATGCCATGTTGGGTCATCCTGTGTCAGCGTCTCCCATGTCTCACAATCAATGCTAAAGTTCTTCGGAGAGACCTTGAGAGTGTCCTTGTATCACTTCTTCTGATCTCTGTGTGAGTGCTTGCCTTGTGTGAGTTCTCCATAAAGCAGTCTTTTAGGTAAACGTATGTTTGGCATTCAGACTACATGGCCAGCCCATCAGAGTTGTGCTTTCTGTGACAGAGTTTGCATGCTTGGCAGTTCAGCTTGAGAAAGGATCTCAGTGTCTGGTACCTTATCCTGCCAGGTGATCTTCAGAATCTTCCTAAGACAATTCAATAGAAGCTGTTTGGTTTCCTGACGTGGCGCTGGTAGAGTGTCCAGGTTTCACAGGCATACAACAACGAGGTCAGCACAATGGCTCTGTAGACCTACAGTTAACTGAACAACAACAAACAGGAAGAAGGAAGTAGTAGAAGTGCTAAAGGAGTGGTTATAATACACATTTCCATTTGAGAGGACTGTTCTGCTTTCTGGAGCTATAAAACTTATTTGAATTGCTCCTCAGTTCCCATGATGTGCTAAACCCCTCACAGATCTCCATCTCTTTCCCTCATTTGTCTCCCTTGCTCTTAGGGCTCAAGAGGATTCATGCTCTGACCATGCAGGCCACCTATGAGCTACACATAGACTTGGAGGACTTTGATAATGGCACAGCCTATGCCCACTATGGAAACTTTGCTGTGGGATTGTTCTCTGTGGACCCAGAGGAAGATGGCTACCCAATCACCATCGCTGATTACTCTGGCACCGCAGGTATGGTTTAGGGGATGGGCTGGCTCAGCAGGGTCCAGTTTGGATATTGGTGGAGCAAGGAACATCAGAATCATCCAATGGTGGGTTGAGGAGAGTATCCAGGTAGATATAGAGATGTTCTGGATAGATGTTCTCCCCATCAATGGATTCCTGTTGGGTTAACCTTTGGTGCGTGACAGAAAAGCTCTTTTCTAAATCTAGACCCTGGGAGAGGAAACATAAGGCATAAAGGCAGAATTATCCTAAGGGAACAGGAATAAATCTAGATAATCATGAAGGTCCTGTGCTTTGGGGGACTAAGTAGGATGGGCAGTGGTTCAGAGAAGCAGCAGATGGAGAAGGAGGGGATGCTGGTACCAAAGACTCCTCCACTCAGAGGCTTCAGCCCCTCCTGTTCCCTTTCTGCCATTTCCATGGGGCTAAGGCTGCTTAGCTCTGAACCTCCCGGTCCCTCTTATGCTACCTACTTGCTGTAAGTCTGATCTACTTGTTCATTTTTCACCCATTTTCACCTGTATACTGTGATGAGGCCACCCTCTGTCTAAACTCCCCTAGGAAGACTCCATGGGCATGGAGGGATACTGTAGAGCAGGGCTTCTTAAACTTTTTCCACTCACAACCCCTTTTCAGGTTTCAGCAGTGTTAGTCGGCATTGTGTGGCCTAAAGGCATGCGAAGTGCAAAGTGCGCATGTTGTGTGTTCAGAACCAAGGCTGCAGTGAAGTTGTGCGATGCAACACAGGCAAGCGCTGCCAGAAACACCTCAGATTCAGTAAACGTTTGATTTCGAATTAATTTTTGGTCATTGCATGTTCAGAAACCTTTCACTGTTGCCAAATTTTTCATGACCCTATATGGGGTCACAACCCACAGTTTAAGAAGCACTGTCTAGACCATTGCCAGCCATGCATACCTCTTTCCACAATCCCCTGGATTACTTCTGTCCTTCTTCCCCTTTCCTGGGGATGAAACCTTCCAGTGCCATCCCCCTCCACATACATATACACTACACACACACACACACACACACACACACACACACACACACACACACATTCTCTCTCTCTCTCTCCCCCTCTCTCTCCCTACCTCCCTCTCTCTGTCTCTGTCTCTGTCTCTCTCCCCACCTCTATCTCTCTGTTTCTCTCTCTCTCTCTCTCTCTCTCTGTCTCTATGAGTGGGTGGGTGTCTCTCTGTCTGTCTGACTCTCTCTCCCTGTCTGTCTCTCTGTCTCTGTCTCCCCCCTTTCTCTCTCTCTCTCTCTTTTCTCTCTCCCTCTTCTCTCTTTCTCTGTATCTTTCTGTGTCTCTCTTTCTCCCTCTCCCTCCCTCTTCCTTCCTCTCTTTCTCTCTATCTTTTTTCTCTCTCCCTCCCTCTCTCTCCCTCCTCTCTTCCTTCCCCCTTCTCTGTCTCTCTCCCTCTCGCTGTCTCTGTCTCTCTATCTCTGTCTCTCTCCCTCTCTCTGTCTCTCTCTCTCCCTCTTCTCTCTGTCTCTCACCCGTCTCTCTCTCTGTCTCTGTCTCTCTCCCTCTCTCTGTCTCTCTCTCCCTCTTCTCTCTTTTGTCTCTCTCTCTCCTCTCTCTCTTTCTCTCTCTCTGTCTCTCTCTCTGTTTCTCTCTCTGTATCTCTGTTTCTCTCCCCTCTGTCTCTCTCTCTCTCCCTCTTCTTTCTTTCTCTGTATCTCTTTGTGTCTCTCCCTCCCTCCTTCCCTCCCTCTCTCCCTCTGTCCCTCCCCTCCTCTCCCCTGTCTGTCTCTTTTTCCTCTCTCTTCTCTCTTTTCTCTTTCTCTCCCCCCCTTCTCTCTCTCTGTCCCCCAAAGTTTCTTTAGTCCTGACGATGACCCATAGGACTAAAGCTTGTCCAGTGAGCTATTTTAGAGCTGGGCTACATGAAGAAGGAAACAAATCCATCAGGCCAGTTCAGAGGTGGCCATGGATGAAGGGGCCAAGACTGGATCTCAATGTCACATCTGGCCACTCTCCTGAGTGCAAATAGTCATTAAGACTATTGTTGGATCCAGGCTATTCAGGGTGAGAATTCTGGGGACTGTCTTGACAGGGACTTACTTGGTATAGGGTACAGGGAATAGGGGCTAGGAAGGCAATGGAAGGCTTTATCCAGAAGAGCGTTGGGTGGAAAGAATACTACCTTAGGAGTCAGGAGACATGGTCTTCATCTGAGGAAGCCAAACCAGTTGTCATTTCAGATGCCCCCTCCTACAGAAGCCCCTCATGGTTGTCCTGGGTGCTAGTGTTCTCAGCTCCTCAGATGATCTCACCTGTCCTTATGCAGGGCATGTTTCTCTTCTTTGTCTTGGAATTCCCTAGTGCTAACAGAGTACCTTGCATATAGGACATACTTAATAAATATGAGCCGAACTGAGTTTAAGAAAAGATGTAACCACCAGTATGCAGAGCACTGTATAAAGTTTGGGAGGAAATGCAATTTCTTAGAAAAGATGAGGTCAGTTTAAGCCTAGGTCTCTGGTTGCCTCTTCTGCTTTGTTTCTTTGCCTGATGGAAGGTGATTGAACTATGATCCTGGGATGGTTATATCCAGGCTTGGGGACAGTTGGAGGGGTAAGGAGAGCTAGGATCCTAGATTGGTGCCTCTAGAATCCACTGCACTACTTCCTCCAGGAGAGGATAAGCCCAACCCCTGGCTTAGCTTGCCAGAAGACACACACCTGGTAGAACTTGTTTGGAAAGTGTGGGACCAAGATGAAATGTGAAATATTGACTTAGCCATCCCACAAATTGATTTATGCTTTGCTTGTTTTGTCTCCACTTCCTGGGACAGTATAACTAAAGTTATAAGTTATTATTGCTGATTCTTTAAGGTTTTCTGTCAGTGAATACTTAGGAAGCTTATGTGTTTAGCATTTCGTGTGTGTGCTTATGTATAGAGAAAATACAGCTGTTCTATACCTGAAAAGAAAAAAGAAAATTAAATTTAAAACAAGGTCCCTGCCCTAATGGAGTTTACAATTTAGTAAATGAAATGCTTACTTCCTTCTGTGGCCCTCAGTTTCCTTCTCAGTCAGGTTGGGAGAGGGGGTTGGATGAGACGAAGACTAAGATTCCTTTCCAGCTCTGACATTCTGTGGCTTATGTGCCAGTGCCTGCTCTGCCCCAGCCCATCACCCCACTGCAGGAAGCACAGGAGATTTGGGGTGGGGATTTGAACACAGGCCTTGTGGCTATGGGCCCACAGGCAAATCACAGGTCACACATTTAGTGTCCTTAGTCCAACTCTGTTCATTATGCTCAGAAAGGTTGTCACTTGCCTAAGGCCACCAAGATAATAAATATCGGAGGCAGGATCTGAACCCACATCTTCCTGACTCCAGGTCAAGTACTCTATTCACTACCTCTTGAACTGAAGTTTCTTCCACCATAAAATATAGATAATAACACTTGTATTCTCCCATTCCATAGAATTTCTGTGAGAAAATAGCTTAGAAAACCTTGAATCACCAGAGCAATGTGAGCTTTTGTCTATGTTTTATTTGCATGTATGTGTGTGTGTGTGTGTTTGGATACAGGTGATTCCTTCCTGAAACACAATGGTATGAAGTTTACCACCAAGGATCAAGATAATGATCACTCCGAGAATAACTGCGCTGCTTTCTACCATGGGGCCTGGTGGTATCGTAACTGCCACACCTCCAATCTCAATGGTCAGTACCTCAGGGGTCACCACTCCTCCTATGCAGATGGCATCGAATGGTCTTCCTGGACAGGATGGCAGTATTCACTCAAATTCACTGAGATGAAGATCCGACCAGTCAGAGAGGAAAATTAGACTGGGACCTACAGCCCCCCACCCCCATCCTCACTCACCTCTCTCTTCTCCCTGCCTTGCTACTCTGCCCTCCATCCTCTCCCCAAACTCTCGTGTTGTTTTGTCCATGAGTCGGGGTGAACCATCCTCCCGTCAGTGATGAGATCACAGTGGTCCCTGCAGGCAAAGAGTTGAGAGAAGTCAGAGACAAAGACTCTTCTCCAGGTTCAGAGATGGAAAACTTTCTTCCGTATCAGCTGGTGGGAGGTAAATTTTGGAGGTGGAAAAAAATAATATATATCAGGGTGTTTATATATATACATACACACATATATTCACACACTGGTAGCTATATCTAGGTATAGACTCAAGTATGAAGATGACTTTAAGATCCATATTTTATACCTGCCCTAGATTTTTATTCATCTAATAGGTATTCTTGCCAGGTCTGGATCTAATTGGACTTGTCAAAATTCTGTCTCCCTGTGTCAAATAGAAGCAATGGTAATAACAGGTTCCCCCAGAGTTGGGGGTGCAAAAAGAAGAGAAGATAGGACTTGGGGGGCAGTGAGGAAGAATGGGGATTTCAGATGATGTTCCAGGGGAAAAAGTCTTAAGGGACCTATCAAGGGAGACATGAAGTAAGGAGCATGGATTTTTTTTCCACTGGTTCTCCTCCCTTGGGAACAGGAGATGGGTGTGACCTGAATCCAGCCAGGCTAACCCTCAGTCTCAGCATTCAGCCCTTCCTAAAGTTCTCCTCCTCATCTGATCTCTGATTTGTCAGTGGCAAATAGAGGTTGGCCCTGGCCTTTCCATAAAAGCAGTGTCCCCGAAGCCATGAGATTGGCCCAGGCTGGCCCAGAGGTAGTGGAGGGGCTCCCAAGCACCTCGCCAGCTGTGATGGGCACAGCTCAAAAAACATGGCGGGTTACACCAAGACCATGTTGGCACAAGATGGTGAGAGACTGGGGAAATAGGCAGTGGTTAACTTTTTGTGCCTCCCAGAAAGGATCTCTGTACTCTGAGACCAGCCTGGACTTCCAAACCTTTACCTTCAGGTGTCATGCAAGTCTCTATCCCCCCCCACCCCCACCCCAGCCTTTTCTGCAATCAGGATTCCCAGGCTGGACCTCTTCTCAACAGGATAGCCAGGGGTGGAGAACTTGCAGCCTCAAGGCCACCTGTGGCCTTCTAAGTCCTTGGGTGCGGCCTTTTGACCGAGTCCAGATTTTAGAGAACAAATCCTTTTATTAAGGGGATTTGCTCTGTGAAGTTTGGATTCAGTCAAAGGGCCACCCTTGAGGATCTAGAGGGCCACATGTGACCTCGAGGCCGCAGGTTTCCCACCCGTGTTTAGCCCAAACCCTTCTAAGTGCAATGACATTCACCTCCCCACCCCTGCTGTTGCTTCCCTGACAGTGCTATCAACGCCAGGTCTTGTAGCTGAGAACAGGCTATAGTCAGGAGCTATACATTGACCTGGTAGCTCCTTTCCCTTCTTCCCTGTGTGGAACTTACCAGCTCTTGGACTGACCTCCGGGGCAAGGCATTCCCTGAGCCAAAGGGGCCTGGGAGACTCTGGGCTTTTATGGGCAGGGAGGAGGCAGGACTGGGCCAGGACTATAGCCTGTGCCTGGCCTTCTAAGACTATGGAAAGAGAATCTCATTCAGTCTCAGAGCACAGAACCTTATTTCCTTTGGAGAGGACTGGCCCTCAGAGAGCCCCTACCTCATTCTGCCCCTGTACCTTTCCCACGTGGGCCACCTATTTGGGCCAAACCTGGCACTGGGGCTTTCTGCATTGGTCACAGAGCAACTCTGTCCTCTGGGAGAACATTAACCCAACAGGCAGAGACAAGGGGAATGGAGGACGCGAGGTGAGGTGGAGTGGGGTTGGGAGAGAGATGTGGAAAAGCTGCTTATATTGCCCAGAAAAGCATGTGGCAAAAGCAGATTGAGCTGAGTATTTTCATGCCTGCTGCTACATTCCCAGACCCTGCAGTGAAAGACTCCCCATTCTCTGCAAGTTCTTTTTCTTCTGTGCCAAGGAGGTGGTTATCAGCACAAGCTGTTTGGGGACAAGCCCAGATGTTCCAGCATGGGCTGTGTGCCCATGCCTGCCTTCCCACTTGCTGGTGGAGAGGCTCAGCCTCGGGGTCAGGAGACATTTGGATCTGCCCTCCTGTGGGATCTGGGCATTGCTGAAGCGGGCATGGCTCCCCTGAGGGAGGTGCCCTCATCCAAGGGCTCCATAGGAGGCTCCGTCCCTCCTTTCCTCTCGCCTCCCATCCCCGTGGGCTCTGCCATGATAGACCAGGCCCCCAGTCCATAGAGACAGCTGCACTGTCCCCACAGCCTTGTGTTCCTCATTTAAAAAGCAAGGAGAGGAGGCAGCCCCAACCCAACCCTCCCTGCTGTGATTGCAGACTGTGGGTCTAGGTTGACAGAAATTCCCTCAGTCAGGAACTTCCCTCCGGCATCCTAACCCTCATTAGCAGGCAGAAGTAGTCATGGTTCAGTTGTCAGGGATGGTGGTTTTTTTTCCCCTCTGCTTCTTTTGAAGTCACCTTCCCTGGAAATGCAGCAAGGCCCTGCCCCTGCTCACAGGGATTAGCACCAGCAGGCCTCTGAAAGCAAGGGGAAGAAGGCGTTTATTGTTCATATGATTTAGGATTTATAGCTGCAAGGGACCTCAGAAATCACCTGTCCAACTTGTTCATTTTACAGTGGAGCCTGAGGCCCAATGAGATGAAGTGACTTGCCCCAGGTCACACAGCCAGGAAATGCCAGAGCCACAACTGGAACCCATAACCTCTGGCTTAAAATTCTATCAATCTTTCCATTATACCATCTGCCTCCTTTTCTACTAAGGATAGCTTTTACTCTCTCAGCCTAAGGACACTCTCTTGTTCCAGGTGAAGGATGATTTGCTGACCTACTTAGGGGCAGGAAGGTCAGGGTGATGGCTTAATTCTGTCTAACTGACCACGGATCCTAGGGAAGGGAATGGCAGAAGCAGTGGAGATACAGCGGCTCCACCACTGGGGGAGGCAGGCTCCCCAGGGATGAATGAAAATGTTATGTGGCACAGATAACCAGGTCTTAGGCAAAGAGTCTGGCAAAAGGGCAGAGGGACCCGTGTGGGAAGGAGGCTAGAAGGAATAAAACTGTGACCTCAAGCTTCCGTTCAAGCTCAAACACCCACTGCCAACCCCTTCACACACACACACACACACACACACACACACAAACACATGCATACACACTAACATGCACATGCATGCAAACACACACATGCACACGCCATTCCTTGGAGAATACCGTGTTCAGATAAAAATAGGTAGCGAGGTGTTGAGGGGCAGCCTTCAGCTGGGAGGCAGGAGGCTTGCATTTGTATCCTGGCCTCTACCACTAACTTGTTGTATGACCTTGAATTAATCACATGACCTCTCTAGGTTGCAATTTCCTCATCTTCAAAATATGGTTGGACTAGTAAAGGGGGTTGTAACCATCATTGTGTTGGGACCTACTTTGGCAATCTGGTAAAGCTCATGGACCCCTTCTCAGAATAATGTTTTTAAACTATTGAAGGAAATGCTAAATTTCATTTTGAAGTTAGTGAAAATAAAGATGTAAAAATTTCCCCCCATTAATTTAATGGACCCCTTGCTATCTCTTCATGGACCTTAGGTTAAGAAGCCTTGGGTGGAGAGGATCTCTGAGGTCCTTCCAGCTCTGCACTCTATGAAAATGTGAAGGTTCATGAAGAAAGGAGGTTCACCTCAATTTTCTTCCTCTGGCAATTAGGCACCCCTACCCTCACCCCCACAAAACCCTTTGCATTTCCAGGAAACAGAAGATAAGGAAGCTTCTCTCTGCTGAAAATCTAGCAAAGACCAAAGAGATGTTGGGGGAAGTTTTGTCTCAGGGTAGAAAGGATGCATGGGTGTATTTTAAAATACAGGTCATAGCTGGGCCCTTTCATAGGGTGGTACAGGCTGGCCAAGTTGTTTACCTTGAACATACCACCTTCCCACATTCTCCCAGCCTAGGCTGCTGGAGATCATGCTCCAAAGCATGCTGGGCACCCTGCCCTTTCCCTCCACTCCAGGCAGGGCCAGATGGAGGCCCAGGCCTAGATCCAAAGGGGAGATTTTCATTGGCCTGGCAACATCAGGCCAAATGTCAGGGGTTCTAAAGCCAACCCCACCTATTCTGTACCTCAAAGATCTGCAATTTTATCAATGTAGGCATGCCCTACAGTCACAGATGGCAAATCTTTCCTTCCCTTGCTAACCAGTTTCACGAGAAGCAGCAAATAAATAAATTCACAAGCCAGTGACCAGTTTTCTGGATGAAAGCCTTTCCGTCCTCAGCTAGGCTGGTCCTCACCAAGTGCATACTGGAAGCATTTGGTAGAAGCTGATGGTGCTTGTGATACATTGGCGTCCACTTTAAGAACCCACAGCCCCCTCTACACCCAGGTTAGGCATCAGGACCCTTTACAACTGTGACCCAATGCCTCTTTACCGCAGGGTCTAAGCTTGTTCTCTCTCTGCTCAAATCTATTCCTTTTGGTTATTGATTTATTTTAAATTAAGGGACTTGGAAAAGGAGTTTCTCCTATCTCCAGTTCTAGAACTTAGCTTCCCAGTCACTTGGGAACTGAGGCAGGCAGAGTCTCTGGGGTCCCCAGGCTTGGCAAAGGAAGACTGTAGGGCTATGGCCGGTCCCCAGGGCCAGGACACCCAAGGCCTTGCTTTGGCTAGGCACTGGACGAGCTGACTTCCCTCTCTGTGAGACTTGCGTGGGAAGAGCCAAGCATTTTCTGATCTGTCACCAAACAAACTCCTGGTGAGATGTTAATTGATTCGCAGATGCGCATGAATCAGAAGGCACAGAAGGCAACGTGCCCTTTTTTTCTGGCTGTCCCACAGCTGAGAAGCAGCGGCGCTTGGGTGAAGGAAGAGCAGTCTAGTGGGCAGAGCCAAGGAAAGGTAGCCATGAGCTCCAAAGTC